CTGGTCTACTTCATTGACTTTAATTGAACCAGAAAAAAACAGCGAGTGGGGTGTCTCGCTTCCTCTTCCGTCTCTGGCAGAGGTTATCCTTGCGCCACTGTTTTTCCTTGCAGACATATAGCAGAGATAGCCATGCAGTTGTTGGGGTTCAACCTCGAGGGCCACTCATTTGGTTTCCACACGTTAAAGTAACTTTTACATTTCCTTAGACAACTTTGTTTTATTGGTTTAAGCTCAGCATGTTTGATTCACCAGTGCTTGGATATGATTTGATTGGCTATGATGTTTCCCCAGTCTCATCCAGCGAAAAGCCTCACCATCCTGCAGGTAAAACTTACTCCTCTGTCTGCATTTGTAATGTTACATTTGTCCCCTATGATTAATTTTCAACCATGTTTGCATTACTATTCACCAACCAGTGTCTGTAGCAGGTGGTGATGCTGATAAAGGCAGTCAGAGAAAGGTGAAAGTGGTCTTATGACATGCTCTTTCAAACATGTGCAACTCTACTATTTTCAAAGATAGCCTCAAAATATGACCTCATTCTCTGTAGCCATTCCCCTTGCAAGGGGAAGATGAAACTCTATTGGTCAACATTACATTTACATTTTAGTCATTTAGCAGACGCTCTTATCCAGAGCGACTTACAGTTAGTGAGTGCATACATTATTTTTTTATTTTTCATACTGGCCCCCCGTGGGAATCAAACCCACAACCCTGGCGTTGCAAACGCCATGCTCAACCAACTGAGCTACATCCCTGCCGGCCATTCCCTCCCCTACCCTGGACGACGCTGGGCCAATTGTGCGCCGCCCCATGGGTCTCCCGGTCGCGGCCAGCTACGACAGAGCCTGGATTCGAACCAGGATCTCTAGTGGCACAGCTAGCACTGCGATGCAGTGCCTTAGACCACTGCGCCACTAACATAAACTAGTAGGGTTGGTCTACTTACTTATATTTTCCCTAGTAACTGTATCTTGGAATAAAAATAATTAGCTCTTAAGACAGACTTTGCACTTTGATCCTTGAACTGTAACTTATAGCATTATTTTCTAATGTTTATGTTTCTGACCCCACAGTAACCACAGTGTCATCAGTGGTGTGATGGTAGCCATCACCCACTTCAGTGGGCTCCGGTATCATCAGTGCCAAGGTCTCCAGATACACCAGATAAACGTTGAGGTTCCCACCCCTCTATCACTTCTCAGTTTCACTGCCTCTGACCAGTCACCTAGCCTGCCTGAATCACAATGCTCTTCATTCTTTTCACTACTTCTTTACCCTTCCATACCAATCTGTGTGTTCATTAGATTGATGGTCCCCCCATCTGATCACACCATTGACTGTGTGGATCACACCCATCCTGTTGAGTGTTTTCTCAGACAAGGTGTGTCACTCTCTGTCTGATTGGATTATTCAGCGTGGCAGATAGAACTGCAATGCATAGAGATGACACAATCCCTGTGGTCTATTCTACATGACAGAGAAATTATCTGCTGTTCTACACCACACATTTCAAACTGAACTTCCTGTAGTTGTGCCTACTTGAGGATTGAGGCAGTAATTGCTATTTTATGTGGAGAACAGGTTCTTTCTGTGGAGTGAATTGCATAGAGATAGATAGTGTAGACTCGAGTTCCCAAAAGCCAGTTTTTAAATGGGCAGCGCCATTGAGAACTTTCACAATTTTGAAGTAGTCAACTGGGGAGACTTGCTATGGGTTAAGAAATGATCACATAATTCCATCCAAGTCATTAGGAGTTATCAGCCAATTAATTATACTCTAGAAGCAACATTCCATAACTGCAGATGGTAGTAAATCGCCAACCGTGGCTTTCTACCTGATCAAACACTCCAGGTGGCAATATGCACCCTTTGTTTACCAACTCATAGAAGTTATAGAATAAATTATGACTACTTCAAAATGGAGATGGACTCAATGGCCCTGCCTGTGCACTCAGATGCCACAACGTGTCCTCTATCTCTATGGTGTATTGCTATCTGCAGTGTTGTGAATGGTTCACAGTGCTGAACACACCCTATGAAGGAGTCTGACTAGTGTATGTATCATTACATAGTAAAACAATTGTATTGTGAAAAACAGAGGGGCAAATTGGAAGAGGGAATTTTCACTTGTTTGATCAGAGATGGGCTGAATACAATGAAAATCAGGAAAGAGGATATAAGCTTGAGAAGTAGGTATATTTCAGTAAAGCGATACATGTCTGAAAAGCAGAGGCCACGTTTATCAAGCATGAGCAGCACAAATGTGTGTACCATTCTTATGAGCAATTCTTTCACATATACTTCCGCAAGTTTCTGTTGCTCAAACAGGAAAACTTGATTAGGACGTGCACTGTGGTCTAGAAGTTCTTAATATCAATATAATCCAAACATCTGTATTGACTAATGCATATCTGTGAGACATTATTTTGAGTGGTACCCTCACAGCTTCACTTTCATATCAGAATCAAGCTCAAAAATCACCATCACGCACCAGGATTTGAGTTTTTATTTCCATAAAAAGAAAAAATTATCAAACATCAAAATAAAAATCTCTGGAGGTATCCCGACGATAAACATCCGAATCAAAAACGAAGACCCTCCTCAATCCACTGATACTCTCAGATCCATTTAACATTTCCTCCTACTACTAAAACCAAAGAGCCTGTTTGAATATTAAATACATCCTTTCTTCCTTAATCACTGATCTGACAAGGCTGGATTGGTGAAAGCAATAAAATGTATACCATGCTTCCACTTATCCAGTCACTTACAGATCAGTGATGAAGGAGAAGGGTGCTTTTTAAAAGATACTCAAAACAGGCTCAACAGGTTTCATTACCACCCTCTGGGTCTTCAGCACACACTACATGGATGCATCGAAAAAGTCTAAAAATCAAGACGTCTACAGCACGTAAACAAACAACTCTCCTTCCGAACTCCGACTTTCGTGCTAAGTTGCAGAGGAGCTTTTGTCAGTAGATATACACTTTAGTTAGCTTGACAACACTCCCGAACGGCTCCGTTCCCATGTGGGTCACGAAGAAAAGGAAAACTTAATCTTGATGGAAGTTTGTTAGTATCGTCCTGCAAAGAGACAAGGATCCATGTTAGTGTGATCGGCTCTCTCAGACATCAAACACCACTGAGTATGGTTTAAAATGTAACAAAAGCTGTTTAGAGGCATGCGTGTGTACTTACGTGGGCTGTATGAGCGAGACCTGGAGCGTGACCTGTATCGACTGTAGTAGGGAGAGGGAGAGCGCCTGCGACTGTAGGAGGGAGAGAGAACAAAAAGATTTACACTAGTGTATAAAGAATAACTCACAATATCAGCCAGCATTGGACAAGTAACCCCATTCATCCCCTCAAGTGTAACCCGAAGAACACCAACAATGTTAATGAGTTACCTCTAGATAAAATTAACATTTTGAATTCCAATATATTCATAGCTACCTGAGGGTATCTCCGATGTTAATCTATTGAATGAAGTCAACATCCTGAGTATAACTGACCTGTACTTGTCGTAATCGTCATATCTGTCGTATCCCCGGTCTCCCCGATCGTATCCACGGTCGTATCCACGGTCATAGCCGCCGCCCCGTCGATCGTCGTATCGGTCGTATGAGTCCCGTCCCCTCCTCCCTCCACCACTGCTGCCACTGTTTCGCTCTCCACCGCCACCATTACTGAGGAAAGGGACAAGTTCATGTTTACTGAGAGTACAAGATTCCCTAAAACACAACCCCTGGCTGCGTCCGATATGCCACCAGATTCCCTACATAGGGGATAGGGTGCCATTTCACACAGCCCTTAACTCCCAATAAACAAAGTAACACTATCCCCCAGTATCACTACATCACACAACGACATCCAAGAAGGAAAAAACAGACACAGCAATACCCACAGGAGACAAAACAGTGCAGCAAGACAGGTGGACATCTGCAAATCAAAAAATGAGCACAGATTCACCATCCTATACTTACTGTGTGGGTCGGCCCATGTAGATGCCAGGCGTAGGGGTGTGGGCCCTCTTGGTGATGGAAAAGTCCACTCTGATACGTCTCCCGTCCAGCTCCATACCGTTGGCACGTTCCATCGCCTAGGGAAACAGAGAGATGAGGAACAAAATGATAGTTTAAAATCAGTTACTCTGAAAATGAGCTTCTCTCCATCTCAACTCTGGGTTCTATTTGCACATGGAAAGGTTTGGGGTGCATACTGAGCACAAAACTTGCACTCTCCCATTGATCCAACACTGAGCCGATAGATGGTTTAGTATGAAGATTTGTTGAAACTGCTTCTCCGATAGAAATCCCCGATCACCCTTGTAGGTGATGTCATGGCAACGTTGGCTAGCTAAGCTCATACGCAGAAACACGTCATCGGGTCTAATATCTCGCACCGAACTGAGCATGTGCAGGCCGTCAAATCAAAGGCACTCCTTCGATATAAAGTTGTTTTTTTATGAAGATGTGTCAGTTTGTCACTTTCACAAGGTTGGAGTAACATGTTCAGATACTAAAGATATAGGTGCGAATCCAAGCTGTGCCATTAGATTTTGAGAAATCTAACAACTAAGGAAGAATTTCTCACTTCTCTCATTGACTTCTCAAACCCTGGTCTGCCGAGTCTGCTTCGCAAAGCAGTCCCCGAAGTCTCGATGTTGGGCCTCTGGGTTTAGAACCTTCATTACAGTGAAGAGTTCCCTGTGTGACTGGTACCACAGGGAACTTTAAGTGAATGGCAAGCCTGACACCTGGTGGTGCTTATGAGTGATCACACTTAACACTACCACAGATACAATATGAAAACGAAACAGCGTACGGACTAGTCAGTGTACAATATCAATGGTTCAAGATGAATTAGCAAAATAACTGGATCTTGATCCTTTTAGATCTTCAACGATTGAGGAATAAGGCGTTTGATGGCACCACAAGCAAAGTTACCATCAGTTCTTAGGTATTACTGTATTACCCAATGATCAACAGCACTTCTTACGACAATAAAATTGGTTCTGAATAAGACCCATAACGTTTTTCCTAAACACTCTCTCAATTAATCTTTCCTCGATTCCTCTTTCCTCTCCTCCTTATCAAAAACAATTGGACAAGAAGGTCAGAGGGGAGGGACTTAGACCTCTCTACTCGAATAGGTTGAGGCAAGGAGAGAGGACGCAATAATTGAGGAAAGACAAATTGCGAGAGGCCCAGACTTCTCAGTTTGTCCCATACCTCCTTGGAGTCGTCGATCCTCTCGAAGTAGACGAAGGCGAAGCCGCGGGAGCGCCCAGTGCGCTGGTCATACACCACGTTAACCCCGGCCAGCGGGCCGTACCGGCCAAACACTTCCCTCAGGTCCTTCTCTGTGGTGTACAGGCTCAGCCCAAACACCCCCAGGCACTGGTTGGGGTCAGGGTTCGCCTGGAAGTCAAAGGGGTCAGATTTCACAGCAGCTGATAGGAACACAGATTACCAGGCACTCACTACGTGTTGCATGCAAGTTTTTTATTTTACCTTTATTTAACCAGGTAAGCCAGTTGAGAACAAGTTCTCATTTACAACTGCGACCTGGCCAAGATAAAGCAAAGCAGTGCGATAAAAACAACAACACAGAGTTACATATGGAATAAACAAAAACGTACAGTCAATAACATAATAGAAAATAGAAAATCTATATACAGTGTGTGCAAATGTAGTAAGTTATGGAGGTAAGGCAATAAATAGGCCATAGTGCAAAATAATTACAATTTAGTATTAACACTGGAGTGATAGATGTGCAGAAGATGATGTGCAAATAGAGATACTGGGGTGCAAATGAGCAAAATAAATAACAATATGGGGATGAGGTAGTTGGGTGGGCTAATTACAGATGGGCTGTGTACAGGTACAGTGATCGGTAAGCTGCTCTGACAACTGATGCTTAAAGTTAGTGAGGGAGATAAGAGTCTCCAGCTTCAGAGATTTTTGTAGTTCGTTCCAGTCATTTGCAGCAGAGAACTGGAAGGAATGGCGGCCAAAGGAGGTGTTGGCTTTGGGGATGACCAGTGAGATATACCTGCTGGAGCACATACTACGGGTGGGTGTTGCTATGGTGACCAATGAGCTAAGATAAGGCGGGGATTTGCCTAGAAGTTACAGTGGGGGAAAAAAGTATTTAGTCAGCCACCAATTGTGCAAGTTCTCCCACTTAAAAAGATGAGAGAGGCCTGTCAAATTGAGAAGAAAAAAATCCAGAAAATCACATTGTAGGATTTTTAATGAATTTATTTGCAAATTATGGTGGAAAATAAGTATTTGGTCACCTACAAACAAGCAAGATTTCTGGCTCTCACAGACCTGTAACTTCTTCTTTAAGAGGCTCCTCTGTCCTCCACTCGTTACCTGTATTAATGGCACCTGTTTGAACTTGTTATCAGTATAAAAGACACCTGTCCACAACCTCAAACAGTCACACTCCAAACTCCACTATGGTCAAGACCAAAGAGCTGTCAAAGGACACCAGAAACAAAATTGTAGACCTGCACCAGGCTGGGAAGACTGAATCTGCAATAGGTAAGCAGCTTGGTTTGAAGAAAACAACTCCCTCCAAAGATTTTCTTGGGGTTGAGATCTGGAGACTGGCTAGGCCACTCCAGGACCTTAAATGCTTCTTACGAAGCCACTCCTTCGTTGCCCGGGCGGTGTGTTTGGGATCATTGTCATGCTGAAAGACCCAGCCACGTTTCATCTTCAATGCCCTTGCTGATGGAAGGAGGTTTTCACTCAAAATCTCACGATACATGGCCCCATTCATTCTTTCCTTTACACGGATCAGTCGTCCTGGTCCCTTTGCAGAAAAACAGCCCCAAAGCATGATGTTTCCACCCCCATGCTTCACAGTAGGTATGGTGTTCTTTGGATGCAACTCAGCATTCTTTGTCCTCCAAATACGACGAGTTGAGTTACCAAAAAGTTATATTTTGGTTTCATCTGACCATATAACATTCTCCCAATCCTCTTCTGGATCATCCAAATGCACTCTAGCAAACTTCAGACGGGCCTGGACATGTACTGGCTTAAGCAGGGGGACACGTCTGGCACTGCAGGATTTGAGTCCCTGGTGGCGTAGTGTGTTACTGATGGTAGGCTTTGTTACTTTGGTCCCAGCTCTCTGCAGGTCATTCACTAGGTCCCCCCGTGTGGTTCTGGGATTTTTGCTCACCGTTCTTGTGATCGTTTTGACCCCACGGGGTGAGATCTTGCGTGGAGCCCCAGATCGAGGGAGATTATCAGTGGTCTTGTATGTTTTCCATTTCCTGATAATTGCTCCCACAGTTGATTTCTTCAAACCAAGCTGCTTACCTATTGCAGATTCAGTCTTCCCAGCCTGGTACAGGTCTACAATTTTGTTTCTGGTGTCCTTTGACAGCTCTTTGGTCTTGGCCATAGTGGAGTTTGGAGTGTGACTGTTTGAGGTTGTGGACAGGTGTCTTTTATACTGATAACAAGTTCAAACAGGTGCCATTAATACAGGTAACGAGTGGAGGACAGAGGAGCCTCTTAAAGAAGAAGTTACAGGTCTGTGAGAGCCAGAAATCTTGCTTGTTTGTAGGTGACCAAATACTTATTTTCAACCATGATTTGCAAATAAATTCATTAAAAATCCTACAATGTGATTTTCAGGAATTTTTTTCCTCAATTTGTCTGTCATAGTTGACGTGTACCTATGATGAAAATTACAGGCCTCTCATCTTTTTAAGTGGGAGAACGTGCACAATTGGTGGCTGACTAAATACCTTTTTCCCCCCCCCCACTGTACACAGAGAATAGAGTCGGCCCGAGAATTGAACCCTGTGGCACCCCCATAGAGACTGCCAGAGATCCAGACAACAGGCCCTCCGATTTGACACACTGAAATCTATCTGAGAAGTAGTTGGTGAACCAGGCAAGGCAGTCATTTGAGAAACGAAGGCTATTTAGTCTGCCAATAAGAATGCGGTGATTGACAGAGTCAAAAGCCTTGGCCAGGTCGATGAAGACTGCTGCACAGTACTGTCTTTTATCAATCGTGGTTATTATATCGTTTAGGACCTTGAGCGTAGCGGAGGTGCACCCATGACCAGCTCTGAAACCAGATTGCATAGCGGAGAAGGTACTGTGGGATTCGAAGTGGTCGGTGATCTGTTTGTTAACTTGGCTTTCAAATACTTTCGAAAGGCAGGGTAGGATGGATATAGGTCTGTAACAGTTTGGATGTAGTGTGTCACCCCCTTTGAAGAGGGGGATGACCGCGGCAGCTTTCCAATCTCTGGGGATCTCAGACGATACGAAAGAGAGGTTGAACAGCCTAGTAATAGGGGTTGCGACAATTACGGCGGCTAATTTTAGAAAGGGTCCAGATTGTCTAGCCCAGCTGATTTGTAGGGGTCCAGATTTTGCAGTTCTTTCAGGACATCAGCTATCTGAATTTGGGTGAAGGAGAAGCAGGGGGGGACATGGGCAAGTTGCAGCGGAGGGTGCAGAGCTGGTGGCCGGGGCAGGGGTAGCCAGGTGGAAAGCATGGCCAGCCGTAGCAAAATGCTTATTGAAATTCTCGATTATCATAGATTTATCGGTGGTGACAGTGTTATTCTCCATGGACTTTACAGTGTCCCAAAACTTTTTGGAGTTAGTGCTACAGGATGAAAATTTCTGTTTGAAAACGCTAGCCTTTGCTTTCCTAACTGAATGTGTATATGGGTTCCTGACTTCCCTGAAAAGTTCCCCACATATCGCGGGGGCTGTTCGATGCTAATGCTGTATGCCACAGGATGTTTTTGTGCTGGTCAAGGGCAGTCAAGTCTGGGGTGAACTAGGGGCTATATCTGTTCTTAGTTCTGCATTTTTTGAAAGGGGCATGCTTATTTAAGATGGAGAGGAAAGCACTTTTGAAGAACATCCAGGCATCCTCTACTGACGGAATGAGGTCAATTAGAAAGGCCTGCTCGCTGAAGTGTTTTAGAAGGGGTTTGACAGTGATGAGGGGTGGTCATTTGACCGCGGACCCATTACGGACGCAGGCAATGAGGCAGTGATCGCTGAGATCCTGGTTGAAGACAGCGGAGGTGTATTTAGAGGGTAAGTTAGTCAGGATGATATCTATGAGGGTGCCCATGTTTACGGATTTAGGGTAGTACCTGGTAGGTTCCTTGATAATTTGTGTGAGATTGAGGGCATCTAGTTTGGATTGTAGGATGGCCGGGGTGTTAAGCATATCCCAATTTAGGTCACCAAGCAGTACGAACTCTGAGGATAGATGGGGGGCAATCAGTTCACATATGGTGTCCAGGGCACAACTGGGGGCTGAGGGGGGTCTGTAGCAAGCGGCAACAGTGAGATACTTATTTCTGGAAAGGTGGATTTTTAGAAGTAGGAGCTCAAACTGTTTGGGCACAGACCTGGATAGTATGATAGAGCTCTGCAGGCTCTCTCTACAGTAGATTGCAACTCCACCCCCTTTGGCAGTTCTATCCAGACGGAAAATGTTGTAGTTTGGGATGGACATTTCTGAATTTTTGGTGGCCTTCCTAAGCCAGGATTCAGACACTGCTAGAACATCAGGGTTGGCAGAGTGTGCCAACGCAGTGAATAACTCAAACTTGGGGAGGAGGCTTCCGATGTTAACATGCAAGAAACCAAGGCTTTTATGGTTACAGCAGTCAACAAATGATAGCGCCTGGGGAGTAGGAGTGATACTGGGGGCTGCAGGGCCTGGGTTAGCCTCTACATCACCAGAGGAGGAATAGAATAAGTATACGGCTAAAGGCTTTAAGAACTGGTATTCTAGTGTGTTGGGTACAGAGAATAAATGGGGCAGATTTCCAGGCGTTGTAGAAAAGATTCAGGGCATTATGTACAGACAAGGATATGGAAGGATATGATTACAGTGGAGGTACACCTAATCATTGGGTAACGATTAAAGCGATAGCATCACTGGAGGTACCGATTGAGCCTGTCCTCGCGTGTATGGGGGGTGGGACAAAGAAGCTATCTGAGGTAGGTTGAGCGGGACTGGGGGCTTTACAGTGAAATAGTACAATAACAACTAACCCAAACAGCAATAGGCTAGGCATATTGACATGGGAGAGAGGCATAACGCAATCACAGGTGTTATTCGAGAGGGCTAAGACAACAACTGGTAATGGCAACGAAAGTTTGGGCTAAGGCTAAACAGGATGGGGTACCGTGTAAAGGAACAGTCCAGCGGGCATCAGATGTGTAGCTGAGTGATCATAAGGTCCAGTGAACAGCAATAGGTAAGTCCAGGAGCAGTTCGTAGGCTGCTACAGCACAGGCGAGCAGGAGGCACGGCTGTTGATTGACAATGCTAGCGGGCCGGTGCTAGCAGATGGATCTTCGTGGTCGTCGAAACGGGAAGCCTGTTGAAACCACATTAGACGATTACGTCGGCAGACCAGTCGTGATGGATCGGCGGGGCTCCGTGTCGACACTAGGAGGTCCCGTCCGGTTGACAGAGAGGTGGATAGCCGGAAGATGGGCCTGGCTCGAGGCTAGCTCAAGGCTAACTGGTGCTAGCTTTGGGACAAGTGAGGATTAGCCAACAACAACATCCATTCGGTTGCAGCTAGCTAGTTGTGATGATCCGGTGTTAAGGTCCAGTGATTCAGTGATTCTGGCAGAAAATCCAAAATGCTCTGGGTCGATAGCACGCTGTGAAGACTGGCCGGTAATTGTCCAGGCTAGAGCTGGCTGGTAGGTAGGTAGTGCAGGCCACGGACAGTGGTGAAGACCGCTAACGGTGGCTAATAGCAATAGCTAATTGCAAGTAGCTAGTTAGCTGGCTAGTTTCAGCCGTGGGTTCTTGATAAAATAAATAATAGAATCCGTTCCACATTGGGTGAGGCGGGTTGCAGGAAAGTATATATAGTTAAGGATGGAAAGCGAAATATATACAACCCCCCCCCCCCCACCAAAAAAACTGCCTATTTACACGAGGACACAACATAATACACTTTGGATACACATCTTGGATTCCATCTCTGTAAATCACTCTTCGTCTCAGTCCCTCTCGCTCACACACAACCCCTGATCTGAGAAGCATACATGTGACGTATTCAGGAGCCTTACTGCTACTCCAGTGCTCTTCTAATGTAGAAGGTATCAAGGTAAGAAGGTCTACATACCCTGGCATCCTCACCACCTCCTCCCTGACTGAATGTCTCTTTTCTGAAGTCATGGCTCTGTTGACATAAAGAGAGGGAGGGTTAATAAAAGGGTTATTAAATAAATCACATAATTCTGTTTCCTGTAAGGGGTCAGGACAGGAGCAGCATAGGAACACTAACTGGTAAATGAACACGCTACCTACATTCCTATAACTAATCTGTGTACACACATCCTAATGAAATTCCACAATTACATAAAGCAGCTGCAAGCCCTTAAAACACATTTGACAATTTGGTATTTTCTATACCATACTGAGCTGTCCCTCCACCACAGGGTTTCCCAACCCTCTTCTTGGTAACCATCAGATGTTTCACATACTTTTTTTACATTTTTTACATACATTTACGTCATTTAGCAGACGCTCTTATCCAGAGCGACTTACAGGAGCAATTAGGGTTAAGTGCCTTGCTTAAGGGCACATCGACAGATTTTTCACCTAGTCGGCTCGGGGATTAGAACCAGCAACCTTTCGGTTACTGGCACAACGCTCTTACCCACTAAGCTACCTGCCGCATATATGTCTCCCTTTACATATTTATTTTTTTAGGGGGTAGATCAGCTTTAATATTGCAAATAGATTAACTTCCATCAATGTAATTGTCTGCATCACCTCCAATCCCCAATATGTTTTTCCCCCGAAAAAATAAATATATATAAAAAATAAATAAATAAATAATATATATATATATATATATATATATACACACACAGGTAAAAGTCAGTAAATTAGAATATTTTGAAAAACTTGATTTATTTCAGTAATTGCATTCAAAAGGTGTAACTTGTACATTATATTTATTCATTGCACACAGACTGATGCATTCAAATGTTTATTTCATTTAATTTTGATGATTTGAAGTGGCAACAAATGAAAATCCAAAATTCCGTGTGTCACAAAATTAGAATATTGTGTAAGGGTTACATTTTGAAGACACCTGGTGCCACAAAATAATCAGCTGACTAACTCAAAACACCTGCAAAGGGCTTTAAATGGTCTCTCAGTCCAGTTCTGAAGCCTACACAAACATGGGGAAGACTTCAGATTTGACAGCTGTCCAAAAGGCGACCATCGACACATTGCACAAGGAGGGAAAGACACAAAAGGTTATTGCAGAAGAGGCTGGCTGTTCTCAGAGCTCTGTGTCCAAACACATTAATAGAGAGGCAAAGGGAAGGAAAAACTGTGGTCAGAAAAAGTGTACAAGCGATAGGGATCACCGCGCCCTAGTCAAGATTGTGAAAAAAAAACCATTCAAAAATGTGGGGGAGATTCACAAGGAGTGGACAGCTGCTGGAGTCAGGGCTTCAAGATCCACCACCAAGAGACGCTTGAAAGACATGGGTTTCAACTGCCGCATACCTCGTGTCAAGGCACTGTTGACCAAGAAACAGCGCGAAAAGCGTCTCACCTGGGCTAAGGAAAAAAAGAGCTGGACTGCTGCTGAGTGGTCTAAAGTCATGTTTTCTGACGAAAGCAAATTTTGCATTTCCTTTGGAAATCGAGGTCCCAGAGTCTGGAGGAAGACAGGAGAGGCACAGGATCCACGTTGCCTGAAGTCTAGTGTAAAGTTTCCACCATCAGTGATGGTTTGGGGTGCCATGTCATCTGCTGGTGTCGGTCCACTCTGTTTCCTGAGATCAAGGGTCAACGCAGCCGTCTACCAGCAAGTTTTAGAGCACTTCATGCTTCCTGCTGCTGACCTGCTCTATGGAGATGGAGATTTCAGGTTCCAACAGGACTTGGCGCCTGCACACAGCGCAAAATCTACCCGTGCCTGGTTTACGGACCATGGTATTTCTGTTCTAAATTGGCCAGCCAACTCCCCTGACCTTAGCCCCATAGAAAATCTGTGGGGTATTGTGAAAAGGAAGATGCAGAATGCCAGACCCAACAACGCAGAAGAGTTGAAGGCCACTATCAGAGCAACCTGGGCTCTCATAACACCTGAGCAGTGCCAGAAACTCATCGACTCCATGCCACGCCGCATTAATGCAGTAATTGAGGCAAAAGGAGCTCCAACCAAGTATTGAGTATTGTACATGCTCATATTTTTCATTTTCATACTTTTCAGTTGGCCAACATTTCTAAAAAATCCCTTTTTTGTATTAGCCTTAAGTAATATTCTAATTTTGTGACACACGGAATTTTGGATTTTCATTTGTTGCCACTTCAAATCATCAAAATTAAATGAAATAAACATTTGAATGCATCAGTCTGTGTGCAATGAATAAATATAATGTACAAGTTACACCTTTTGAATGCAATTACTGAAATAAATCAAGTTTTTCAAAATATTCTAATTTACTGACTTTTACCTGTATATATATATATATATATATATACACACACACACACAGTTGAAGTTGGAAGTTTACATACACTTGTTTTTCAACCACTCCACAAATGTCTTGTTAACAAACTATAGTTTTGGCAAGTCGGTTAGGACTTTGTGCATGACACAAGTCATTTTTCCAACAATTGTTTACAGACAGATTATTTCCCTTATAATTCACTGTATCACAATTCCAGTGGGTCAGAAGTTTACATACACTAAGTTGACTGTGCCTTTAAACAGCTTGGAAAATTCCAGGAAATGTCATGGCTTTAGAAGCTTCCGATAGGCTAATTGACATAATTTGAGTCAATTGGAGGTGTACCTGTATTTCAAGGCCTACCTTCAAACTCAGTGCCTCTGCTTGACATCATGGGAAAATCAAAAGAAATCAGCCAAGACCTCAGAAAAAAGTATAAACACCATGGGACCACGCAGCCGTCATACCACTCAGGAAGGAGACGCGTTCTATCTCCTAGAGATTAACGTACTTTGGTGCAAAAAATGCAAATCAATCCCAGAACAGATGCTAGAGGAAACAGGTACAAAAGTATCTACAGCCACAGTAAAACAAGTCCTATATCGACATAACCTGAAAGGCCGCTCAGCAAGGAAGAAGCCACTGCTCCAAAACCTTCATAAAAAAGCCAGACTACGGTTTGCAACTGCACATTGGGACAAAGATCGTACTTTTTGGAGAAATGTCCTCTGGTCTGATGAAACAAAAATAAAACTGTTTGGCCACAATGACCATCGTTATGTTTTGAGGAAAAGGGGGGGGGGGGGGGGGGGGGGGGCTTGCCAGCCGAAGAACACCAGAAGCACGGGGGTGGCAGCATCATGCTGTGGGGGTGCTTTGCTGCAGGAGGGACTGGTGCACTTCACAAAATGGATGGTATCACGAGGAAGGAAATTTATGTGGATATATTGAAGCAACATTTCAAGACATCAGTCAGGAAGTTAAAGCTTGGTCGCAAATGGGTCTTCCAAATGGACAATGACCCCAAGCATACTTCCAAAGTTGTGGCAAAATGGCTTAAGGACAGCAAAGTCAAGGTATTGGAGTGACCATCACAAAGCCCTGACCTCAATCCTATAGAAAATGTGTGGGCAGAACTGAAAAAGCGTGTGCGAGCAAGGAAGCCTACAAACCTGACTCAGTTATACCAGCTCTGTCAGGAGGAATGGGCCAAAATTCACCCAACTTCTTGTGGGAAGCTTGTGGAAGGCTACCCGAAACATTTGACCCAAGTTAAACAATTTAAAGGCAATGCTACCAAATACACTCAATTAGTATGTAAACTTCTGACCCACTGGGAATGTGATGAAGGAAATAAAAGCTGAAATAAATAATTCTCTACTATTATTCTGACATTTCACATTCTTAAAATAAAGTTGTGATCCTAACTGACCAAAGACAGGGAATTTTTACTAGGATTAAATGTCAGGAATTGTGAAAAACAGAGTTTAAATATATTTGGCTAAGGTGTATGTAAACATCCGACTTCAACTGTGTGTGTGTATATATATATATATATATATATATATATATACACACACACACATATACACACACACACAAACCTTAGCCAAATACATTTAAACTCAGTTTTTCACAATTCCTGACATTTAATCCTAGTACACATTCCCTGGCCAAACAGTTCTATTTTTGTTTCATCAGACCAGAGGATTTGCACTTTTCGCACCAAAGTACGTTCATCTCTTGGAGACAGAACGCGTCGCCTTCCTGAGCGGTATGACGGCTGCGTGGTCCCATGGTGTTTATACTTGCGTACCGTTGTTTGTACAGATGAACGTGGTACCTTCAGGCGTTTGGAAATTGCTCCCAAGGATGAACCAGACTTGTGGAGGTCTACCATTTTTTTCTGAGGTCTTGGCTGATTTATTTTGATTTTCCCATGATGTCAAGCAAAGAGGCACTGAGTTTGAAGGTAGGCTGTGAAATACATCCACAGGTACACCTCCAATACACTCAAATTATGTCAATTAGCCTATCAGAAGCTTCTAAAGCCATGACATCATTTTCTGGCATTTTCCAAGCTGTTTAAAGGCACAGTCAATTTAGTGTTTGTAAACTTCTGACACACTGGAATTGTGATACAGTGAATTATAAGTGAAATAATCTGTCTGTAAACAATTGTTGGAAACATTACTTGTGTCATGCACAAAGTAGATGTCCTAACCGACTTGCCAAACTATAGTTTGTTAACAAGACATTTGTGGAGTGGTTGAAAAACTAGTTTTAATGACTCCAACCTAAGTGTATGTAAACTTCCGGCTTCAACTGTACATATATATACACATACATACATACATACCAGTGGGGAGAACAAGTATTTGATACACTGCCGATTTTGCAGGTTTTCCTACTTACAAAGCATGTAGAGGTCTGTAATTTTTATCATAGGTACACTTCAACTGTGAGAGACGGAATCTAATACAAAAATCCAGAAAATCACATTGTATGATTTTTAAGTAATTAATTTGCATTTTATTGCATGACATAAGTATTTGATCACCTACCAACCAGTAAGAATTCCGGCTCTCACAGACCTGTTAGTTTTTCTTTAAGAAGCACTCCTGTTCTCCACTCATTACCTGTATTAATTGCACCTGTTTGAACTCGTTACCTGTATAAAAAAACACCTGTCCACACACTCAATCAAACAGACTCCAACCTCTCCACAATGGCAAAGATCAGAGAGCTGTGTAAGGACATCAGGGATAAAATTGTAGACCTGCACAAGGCTGGGATGGGCTACAGGACAATAGGCAAGCAGCTTGGTGAGAAGGCAACAACTGTTGGCGCAATTATTAGAAAATGGAAGAAGTTCAAGATGACGGTCAATCACCCTCGGTCTGGGGCTCCATGCAAGGTCTCACCTCGTGGGGCATCAATGATCATGAGGAAGATGAGGGATCAGCCCAGAACTACACGGCAGGACCTGGTCAATGACCTGAAGAGAGCTGGGACAACAGTTTCAAAGAAAACCATTAGTACAACACACTACGCCGTCATGGATTAAAATCCTGCAGCGCACGCAAGGTCCCCCTGCTCAAGCCAGCGCATGTCCAGGCCCGTCTGAAGTTTGCCAATGACCATCTGGATGATCCAGAGGAGGAATGGGAGAAGGTCATGTGGTCTGATGAGACAAAAATAGAGCTGTTAGTCTAAACTCCACTCGCCATGTTTGGAGGATAAAGAAGGATGAGTACAACCCCAAGAACACCATCCCAACCGTGAAGCATGGAGGTGGAAACATCATTCTTTGGGGATGCTTTTCTGCAAAGTGGACAGGACAACTGCACCGTATTGAGGGGAGGATGGATGGGGCCATGTATCGCGAGATCTTGGCCAACAACCTCCTTCCCTCAGTAAGAGCATTGAAGATGGGTTGTGGCTGGGTCTTCCAGCATGACAACGACCCGAAACACACAGCCAGGGCAACTAAGGAGTGGCTCCGTAAGAAGCATCTCAAGGTCCTGGAGTGGCCTAGCCAGTCTCCAGACCTGAACCCATTAGAAAATCTTTGGAGGGAGCTGAAAGTCCATATTGCCCAGCGACAGCCCCGAAACCTGAAGGATCTGGAGAAGGTCTGTATGGAGGAGTGGGCCAAAATCCCTGCTGCAGTATGTGCAAACCTGGTCAAGACCTACAGTAAACGTATGATCTCTGTAATTGCAAACAAAGGTTTCTGTACCAAATATTAAAGTTATGCTTTTCTGATGTATCAAATACTTATGTCATGCAATAAAATGCAAATTAATTACTTAAAAATCATACAATGTGATTTTCTGGATTTTTGTTTTAGATTCCGTCTCTCACAGTTGAAGTGTACCTATGATAAAAAATTACAGACCTCTACATGCTTTGTAAGTAGGAAAACCTGCAAAATCAGCAGTGTATCAAATACTTGTTCTCCCCACTGTATGTATATATACAGATGTGGAAAAAATTAAGAGACCACTGCAAATGTTTCTTAAATCAGCATCTCTACATGTATGACAGCCATTCCATTCCAGTGTCTGTTGAATTCCAACACAGGCACACCTCATTCTACTGAATTAGGTACTGATTAGGTGATCACCTGAACCAAATCTTATTTAACGAGGAAAAGTATAACAACCACTGCTGTGGTCATCACTATCCTCCTGCAATAGGACCAGCTGGATGGCAAAAACAGTGCTAATAGTATCTCAAAAGTAATATTAAATTTAAAAAAATACTATTGACCATGCCAATAGTGTTGAAAAGGAAAGTTGAGTGAGGAAAAGGGTTCAATTCTGGCTTTACAGGCAGAGGGATACAGTAAGCGTCAGGTTGCTTCCATCCTTAAAATGTCAAAGACGGCGGGTCATAAGAACAAGGTCAAGCAGCAGACATTGGGGACAACAAAGCTACAGACCGGCAGAGGGCGAAAACGACTCTACTGACCGGGATGACCGCCACCTCATTCGAATGTCACTCAACAACCGTAGGATGACATCAAGTGACCTACAAAAAGAATGGCAAACGGCAGCTGGGGTGAAGTGCACGGCGAGGATGGTTTGAAACAGGCTCCTAGGGGCAGGGCTGCAGTCGTGCAAAGCTACAAAAAAGCCCTTCATCATGAGAAGCAAAGAAGAGCCAGGCTGAGGTTTGCAAAATACCATAAGGATTGGACCGTAGAGGACTGGAGTAAGGTCATCTTCTCTGTTGAGTCCAATTTTCAGCTTTGCCCAACACCTGGTCGTCTAATGGGTAGACAGAGAACTGGAGAAGCCTACAAGCCACAGTGTCTCGCACCCACTGTGAAATTTGGTGGAGGATCGGTGATGATCTGGGGGTGCTTCAGCAAGGCTGGAATCGGGCAGATTTGTCTTTGTGAAGGACGCATGAATCAAGCCACGTACAAGGTTGTCATGGAAGAAAACTTGCTTCCTTTTGCTCTGACACTGTTCCCCAACTCTGAGGATTGTTTTTTCCAACAGGACAATGCACCATGCCACACAGCCAGGTCAATCAAGGTGTGGATGGAGGACCACCAGATCAAGACCCTGTCATGGCCAGCCCAATCTCCAGACCTGAACCTCATTGAAAACTTCTGGAATGTGATCAAGAGGAAGATGGATGGTCTCAAGCCATCAAACAAAGCCGAATTTTTGCACCAGGAGTGGAATAGTCACCCAACATCAATGTGAAAGACTGGTGGAGATCATGCCAAGACACATGAAAGCAGTAATTGAAAATCAGGGTTTTTCCACCAAATATTGATTTCTGAACTCTTCCTAAGTTAAAACATTAGCATTGTGTTGTTCAAAAATGAACATGAACTTATTTTCTTTGCATTATTCGAGGTCTGACAACATTTCATCTTTTTTGTTATTTTGACCAGTTGTCATTTTCTGCAAATAAATGCTCTAAATGACCATATTTTTATTTGGAATTTGGGAGCAATGTTGTCAGTAGTTTATAGAATAAAACAAAAATGTTATTTTTACCCAAACACATACCTATAAATAGTAAAACCAGAGAAACTGATAATTTTGCAGTGGTCTCAATTTTTTCCACAGCTGTGTATATATATATATATATATATATACACACACACACACACACCTACCCCTTTTAAAATACATTTCCCTTTATTAATTTACAACCCCACCACCCCTCCCCTAATTGGAGTAAACTAGTGAACAACAACACTTAGGGCTCTACTTCCAGCTTATACATACTATATACATTTTATGGACAGTCAATTTTACAATAATTATATTTTGTTTGTTTTTGTTAGCTGCAGGTGCGACAAATGCACCAGTCCTACCTATGACATCATTTACGAAGATTATACCCCTTTAAAAAATGTTTTTGTTTGTTTATAATGTTTTTTTTAATCAATTAGTATATTTGAGTTTAACCACAATATTTGTTGCATTATTTGTTCTGTCGTTTCTGGAGGATTAAATTGAAATTGCAACAAACTTTCTATGGCTTGTTTTAGAAATAGTGATATTTGGGAGATGATTTCCTTTTCAAATAACTGAAAGTGAGGTTGTAATCTGAATAAAGGGAAAAGGGCCATTCTTGAACATGGGGTAAGACAATCTTACTAATTTGCTAGAGAACCAGTTCGAATTTAAGTATAACTTTTGTATGACTGAAGCTTTTAGTGATAGGTCTAATGCTTTAATATTTAATAATTTATGTCCTCCGAATTCATATTCATTATATAAATAGGCCCGTTTAATTTTGTCTGGCTTGCCGTTCCAAATAAAATTGAATATTTTTTCTCTCATATAATAATAAAAAAAACTGTTCGCTAGGCATAGGCAAGACAATAAGCAAATAGGTAAACTGGGATAATCCTAAAGAGTTAATCAGGGTGATTTTTCCACAAGTAGACAGGTATTTACCTTTCCATGGTAGCAAGATCTTATCTATTATTGCTAACTTTCTATAAAAAAATGTATTGGAGTGAGAACATTTATTTAACTAGTTAACTAATCATCAATCCCTTGACTAGTTGAACCAGGTGTGCCAGTTTAGGACTACAATAAATATGTGAAACGTCTGGTGGTTACCGAGGAGAGGGTTGGGAAGTACTGCTCTACTCCATCAGCAGTCAGACCCTGACCTTTGACCTGTTAGCGATGTGACACTCACTCTGCTGCTGGGGCGGCGGTGGTTAGGCGACGCGCTCTGGCTCTTCTTCTTCCGGTATTCCGGGCTGTAGGAACGGGACTTCTTCCTGTTGGAGGTGGAGCGAGAGCGGCTGTACCTGCGGTTGGAGTGCCTCCGAGAGTGAGACCTGGAGAGAGGTTGGAAGAGAGAGAGAGGCAGAGGGTAATAGGAAGGAGCAGATAAATGAGGGAAAGAGGAGAGCAAGAGAATTGTGTCAAGTTACCCCACAGCACATTGAGACATCACTCTTCACTCTGCTAAGAGAAATAACAGGAGGACAGACTCACCTGGACTTAGAGCGGGAGCGAGACTCTGAGTGTTTGGCAGCCCGGGATGGGCTCGGGGAGCCGGATCTGCTCTCCGACTTGACCCGGACAGGACTGCCACGGTCCGATTTGGATGGAGAGCGAGAGTCCTAATTTTACAGTAGCAGCGTGTTAAAGAGGCCCCCTCTTTTACTTATACACACATTACTCAAAAGGAACACACACAAGCAACTTTTCAAAGTCAGCAACTTTTCAAAGTCAGACATAAACCACTAGAGCTCATACACTGTGGAGGAAAGGGTTAGTGCTCCACCATGTCTATCACGTGGTAAAAAAAATAATAATCCTTCGCTTGGATTAATAATATGCTAGAACCCTGTGTCATAATGTTAACATATCCCATAACTCGTTTCTTCTACCTGGGTCAAACTAAAGTCATCATGCATTTTTAAACTATAGAAATGGAGCATAGTAGTGTAAAGACACTTGGAACATATACCGTATATTTACTTAACCTAGGGATACATTCATTCTTTCTTCCAGATTCTTTATATACGCTACTTCCTTCTGTCAGGAATTCTACTGTTCTTCGTTGTTCTTCTTTTTTCCATTTTCATTTTCTGATGCCGGGTTTTCGCTCTTCCCCAAATAGAAACCATTTTCACCTTTAGCCATACATACTGCAAGTGCTTCTATATCTGACCACCAATCTTCCAGTTTCATTCATTTTCCCCTTCCCACTTCTATGTTCTGCTCTGTAACTGTTATTCAAAAGCCTTCGTTTATTCTTGGATATTTTCTTCCACATTCTTGGATAAAACTCTTCAAATCCTTCACGATCAATAACCTTAATGAAAAAAGAACATTCAATACAATTAAATATCATTAATTTATAGAAAAAAAAGATATTTCGTAAAATAATGAATGTCTACAGTATATTTAGTATAGCAGGACAAACTATACTTGCAACAAATGTTTAGTTTATACCCTTCATCTCAGAAGGGCAATGAAGGGTTTAGTGATGAGTACAACTTTTCAATAGAGCAACATTGTAGCAGCATAACACTGAGTAAGTGAACATTGTGAGATGACTTTAGAAAACGGTTTCACTTTCACCATTAGCTACGAGGTGATGTTACTTTCACCCCTAATTTATTTAGCTATAGGATTAGAATGAAAGATGGTTGTAAGCAGGAAAATAAGAGTGGCTTGAAGCTCAGATTGTTTGACTACAACTGGTACGACAAAGGCACCAAACTTACCTGAGAGCTAGCGAATAGCTAACTAGCTAGTTTGTGCCATGTGCATAACGTTACGTTTATGCTACCGGTAGCATCATGTACGATAACTAAGTTAGCTAGCTAGGCATGTTACCTAGCGTAGGTATGGAAGAAAAAAAAATTATGCACTCACTAACTGTAAGTCGCTATGGATAAGAGCGTCTGCTAAATGACTAACGTGTAAATGTAAAATGTATTGTTCGGCTGGCAACTAGCGAAAGGAAGGTAGCTATTACTAGCTAACCAGTTTATCCTAGTAAGCTTACAATAGTGTGGAGAACATTTTATGTTGCAATCTAGCGAGCCACCTTTTTAAATTACGAATTTACTAGCGTTAGTTAACGTTAGCGGCTCAAATCGCTAATTAGCCTGCTATGCTAGTTATCTAGCCACAACGTTACTAACAAAGATAACTACTGTTAACTTACCCTGTTAGTTAGCTAGCTACAGTACTGTATGTCAGCAAAAGATAGGACATTATTTTGGTTTCCGTTGCAACGCTAATACTTACTCGTCCATCGAAGTTTCCATCCTCAATGTCACTCATTTTGTAAAGAGATGAACAATATAGCTAGTGAGCTAGCTTACGTTTTCAGACAAAATAATAGTGTCCTCCTTTGCGCTTCTCTGCTCTTTCTCGTGCTGGTCTGGTGGTGGTGGAAGATGGCGGAGGAGGACGGCAGTTTTTAGTTTGTTTATCAACTGCAGAATTTGTGCCGACGTCATCGTGATTCCTGCCACGCCTGCTTCATACTACAGTGCCATAGTCCATCCATGCATTGATTCAATTCAAATGCAGATCTTGTAGGCCTAGGTCTGAATGACAAACTAAGAATCTTGACCAGATGTAGCTACGGTATTACAATAGTGTCCCTGGCCATTTCTGTAGGACCCAGAGGGTCCCCAAACTTGTGTACCCCAATAAGTCATTACAACTCTACCCATTAGCCATATGACCATTGACGGAAACTGACCACCCCATACCCAGCCATGGCTATTTGTCTCTCAGTTGATCCCCTGCTTTGTGAATACAAAACCCATGAAATAGGAAAATAGTATAATTTGGGCTCCAGTCTTTCAGTCAACTTGCCATTGTCTTGGGTTAAGTTGCTGCTGAACGCTGATCTTAGGTCAGTTTTTGCATTTCCAAACCAACGCTTAACCCCCTCACTCACAAACGTATTGATTCTCTAGTATCACAGATCAAAAAGCATGGGCTGCATCCTGATTCTCCACCCTTCTCCCAAAAGTGTGCACTTGCACACTTACTATAGCAATGTTAGACTGTATAAGGAGGGTTTGACTGGTTCAGAGTTCAAAGTGCCACCATGGCGCATCGATAAGAATGCAGATGAAATTAGATGCATCGATAAGAATGCAGATGAAATTAGATGAAGCGGGAATCCAAATAGTGGGGTTTTATTGCAAACACAGCAGCACATGGGGAAATGTTGCAGGATAATGTTGTGGTTTACTAGGGAAATACAAGAGGGAGATACAAACATGTTAACATACAAGCATGACTGACAAGTGCAAAAGGGCTAAATAACAAATGCATCTCACATGCTGGACTGACAGGAAATTGTCAGTCATTTGGCAGCAGCATATACACTTTAACATCAACTAAAAAATGATCTTAAAACTAACATTTACACACAATAATGGAAAGTATTCACTTGTCAGTCACGCACAACATGGAAAGGAAAACATAAGTTGGCCGCCCCATGCATTCACCAACAGGAATAAGGAAGACTGGAGGGAGAAACTGCTGCTTAAATAGTCAAGGGTGCTAGTGAGCAGAGTGGAGACACTTGAGGTGAGTGGCAAGGAAGGGCCGTGGCTAGAGGTTATGGGTGAAGTCATCAAACTTCTTAACACTTAGTCATGAATTTAAATCTTGAATCCTTAGTTGCTACATCCATTTTTGGACTTTAAATTAATGATTATAGCCATTGATTCTTGAATATAACTTATAAATTACTCATGAGCTTAGGTCAACTGGCGTACCCTATCAGAACCCAAAATATTAGCTTGTTTTACTGAAATGTACACAAACATGTATAGCCTCAAAACATGGTTAAAACTATCATACACTCTGTAGCGCCTTACGATGGTCAATCCTTGCATCCATACCTCGGTCTATGAATTTGAGAGTGGTTACATTTCTCCAGGCCCATCCTTCAGCGTTTTTACCAAAACAGAGGTGCGGAGACGGCTTTGTTATTGTTTCAATTAAGGATTCTAGCTTTAACAACAGCGGAAACTCCCTCCAGCCAACGCTTAAACCAATCCAATGCTTTTAAATGCATGGTGGTAACGGTAGGCAAGAACACATCTGCCACGCTGATCCTCAACACGGGGGCCCCTCAGGGGTGCGTGCTTAGTCCCTTCCTGTACTCCCTGTTCACCCAATACTGCATGGCCATGTACGACTCCATCATTAAGTTTGCAGACGACACAACGGTGGTAGGCCTGATCACCGACAATGATGAGACAGCCTACAGGGATGAGGTCAGAGACCTGGCCATGTGGTGCCAGGATAACAACCTCTCTCTCAACGTGAGCAAGACAAAATAACTGATCGTGGACCACAGGAAAAGGGGGACCGAGCACGTCCCCATTCACATCGACGGGGCTGTAGTGGAGCGGGTCGAGAGCTTCAAGTTCCTTGGTGTCCACATCACTAACAAACTATCATGGTCCAAACACACCAAGACACTTGTGAAGAGGGCATGACCATGCCTATTCCCCCTCAGGAGACTGAAAAGATTTGGCATGGGTCCTCAAGAAGTTATACAGCTGCACCATCGAGAGCATCCTGACTGGTTGCATCACCGTTTGGTATGGCAACTGCTCGGCATCCGACCGTAAGGCGCTACAGTGTATTGCGTATGGCCCAGTACATAACTGGGGCCAAGCTTCCTGCCATCCAGGACCTCCATACCAGGCGGTGTCAGAGGAATTCCCTAAAGATTGTCAAAGACTCCAGCCACCCTAGTCATAGACTGTTCTCTCTGCTACCGCACGGCAAGCAGTACCGGAGCGCCAAGTGTAGGTCCAAAAGGCTCCTTAACAGCTTCTACCCCCATGCCATTACACTGCTAAACAGTTAATCAAATGGCTAATCTGACTATTTGCATTGACCCCCTTTTTTACGCTGCTGCTACTCGTTGTTTATTATCTATGCATAGTCACTTTACCCCTACCTACATGTACATTTTACCTGGATTCACCTGTACCCCCAAACATTGACTCGGATCCGGTACCCCCTGTATATAGCCTTGTTATTGTTATTTTATTGTGTTACTTTTTTTCTTACTTTAGTTTCTTTTAGTTTAAATATTTTCTTACTTTAAAAAAAATTCTGCATTTTTGGTTAAGGGCTTGTAAGTAAGCATTTCACGGTAAGGTCTACACCTGTTGTATTCAGCGCATGTGACAAATCAAATTTGATTTGAAAGGTAGTGTTTAAGTGCACACTTCTGTAAGGGTGGAGAATCAGGATGCAGCCGATGGTTTGTAGTAAAGGGGGTAAGGGTGTGCCATAGACAGGCACTCCCACATGTTTAAAAGTATAAACATTGGGCTAGCCCACTATTTTTAGGGCATCCCCCAACAGTCAATGTGTAATGTGAGCTCAGACTGATATGTGTAAGAAATAGACAAGCAACTTCATCAAAGGGCTAAACTGCAAAGCGGAATCAACAAGGACTAACAGTCTGGGTAGTGACAAAGAGGATAGAGATGGAGTTGGAATTGATCTATAGTAATCACTTGGTAATCGTCTGCTTATTGACAGTTACATTCGACTTGTTATACACATCCTCTAAAATCATCAAAGTAAAAATACATTTCTCAAGCCTTCAAGGAGAGTGCAAATAAAAATCTTTGGATTATCACTTTTATCCTTTAAAAAAAAAAATCTACTGTACACATGTTTTGCTCATATATATATATATATATATATATATATATATATATATATATATATATATATATATATATATATATATATACACACACACACAGTGGGGAGAACAAGTATTTGATACACTGCCGATTTTGCAGGTTTTCCTACTTACAAAGCATGTAGTGGTCTGTAATTTTTATCATAGGTACACTTCAACTGTGAGAGACAGAATCTAATACAAAAATCCAGAAAATCACATTGTATGATTTTTAAGTAATTAATTTGCATTTTAATGCATGACATAAGTATTTGATCACCTACTAACCAGTAGGAATTCCGGCTCTCACAGACCTGATAGTTTTTCTTTAAGAAGCCCTCCTGTTCTCCACTCATTACCTGTATTAACTGCACCTGTTTGAACTCGTTACCTGTATAAAAGACACCTGTCCACACACTCAATCAAACAGACTCCAACCTCTCCACAATGGCTAAGACCAGAGAGCTGTGTAAGGACATCAGGGATACAATTGTAGACCTGCACACGGCTGGGATGGGCTACAGGACAATAGGAAAGCAGCTTGATGAGAAGGCAACAACTGTTGGCGCAATTATTAGAAAATGGAAGAAGTTCAAGATGACGGTCAATCACCCTCGGTCTGGGGCTCCATGCAAGATCTCACCTCGTGGGGCATCAATGATCATGAGGATGGTGAGGGATCAGCCCAGAACTACACGGCAGGACCTGGTCAATGACCTGAAGAGAGCTGGGACCAGTCTCAAAGAAAACCATTAGTAACACACTACGCCGTCATGGATTAAAATCCTGCAGCGCACGCAAGGTCCCCCTGCTCAAGCCAGCGCATGTCCAGGCCCGTCTGAAGTTTGCCAATGACCATCTGGATGATCCAGAGGAGGAATGGGAGAAGGTCATGTGGTCTGATGAGACAAAAATAGAGCTGTTAGTCTAAACTCCACTCGCCATGTTTGGAGGAAGAAGAAGGATGAGTACAACCCCAAGAACACCATCCCAACCGTGAAGCATGGAGGTGGAAACATCATTCTTTGGGGATGCTTTTCTGCAAAGGGGACAGGACGACTGCACCGTATTGAGGGGAGGATGGATGGGGCCATGTATCGCGAGATCTTGGCCAACAACCTCCTTCCCTCAGTAAGAGCATTGAAGATGGGTCGTGGCTGGGTCTTCCAGCATGACAACGACCCGAAACACACAGCCAGGGCAACTAAGGAGTGGCTCCGTAAGAAGCATCTCAAGGTCCTGGAGTGGCCTAGCCAGTCTCCAGACCTGAACCCAATAGAAAATCTTTGGAGGGAGCTGAAAGTCCGTATTGCCCAGCGACAGCCCCGAAACCTGAAGGATGTGGAGAAGGTCTGTATGGAGGAGTGGGCCAAAATCCCTGCTGCAGTGTGTGCAAACCTGGTCAAGACCTACAGTAAACGTATGAGCTCTGTAATTGCAAACAAAGGTTTTTGTACCAAATATTAAGTTATGCTTTTCTGATGTATCAAATACTTATGTCATGCAATAAAATGCAAAGTAATTACTTAAAAATCATACAATGTGATTTTCTGGATTTTTGTTTTAGATTCCGTCTCTCACAGTTGAAGTGTACCTATGATAAAAATTACAGACCTCTACATGCTTTGTAAGTAGGAAAACCTGCAAAATCGGCAGTGTATCAAATACTTGTTCTCCCCACTGTGTGTGTGTGTGTGTGTATATATATATATATATATATATATATAAGCTAAAAAGGGACTCTTCAAATCTACATGTTAAGCACCAGGAGCTGCTGCAAACTCAAATACATAATTTCCCAAACTACCATGAGTGCATTGTTTAGTTCAGCAAATTCTGATATGGATGAGATTTGAAGAAGCAGTACAGCAAATTCGTAGTTAGTATGTCCAAGGGATGTAATATCGGGGTGGCTGTGCCATTCATATTCATCATCAGCTTCCTTGAAGACTCTACAGAGTACAGACATTTGTTCATTTTCTCTACTGTTGTTGATGCTTTGTTGCTGCCCACAGACATCCTCAGAGACATCTGCAGTTTGTAGACCCATCCATGATAAAACCACTAAAAAGGGAAGCTAAAATTTATGCCTAAGAGAGTCCATGACTGAAAGTATTAAAAAAGGTGCTCAACTGTCTTCGTAAAAAAATTGAAACCAGCCATGTACTTATTGGAAACGAACAGGCAGTCAGTCCTTTCTCAGGGTTAGTTTTAAATTATCTAGAATATATCCTTCCCTCTTTTCTTCCTTCCATGAGCTAATCACTGATCTGTAAATGAATGGATAAGTGAAAGGAAAGTTGCCACCCGACCATCCTTATTAGATCAGTGACTACCTAAGGAAGAAAGGATGCACTTGTATTTGAACAGGGCCTCAATCACTACCCACACCACTATACCCCTGGGCGAGGTCTGTTGGGTGTGTGTGGAGGGAGGCGAGGTGTGTCCAGGCGGTGGTTGCCTGGCATGTCCTGCTTGTGTAAGGCAACTGGAGCTGAGGCCAGGGAGCCCCCTGCAGGATGGGAGGAGTTAGTGACTGAAGTGTTGGCGACCAGCTCCATCTTCCCCTCCAGCTTGACCAGGCGTGTCAGGATGTCGTCCAGCAACACTGCTATGGTCCTCTTCAGATCAGCTGTGTGTATGAGTGAGTGAGTGAGTGAGTGAGTGAGAGAGAGAGAGAGAGAGAGAAAGAGAACGAGAGTAAGTACATTTGCATTTCCTTTCATTTCCAGCGCCACAACGAAAGAAAATTGTGGCTTCAGGATTTTTCTCAACTCTAAAACAGTCCTTACCATAACCGGCCATAGAGGGGCCCTGCGGTCCTCCTGGTGAGTTCTGGTTCTCCTCGTTGAGCACCTTGACATAGTGCCGGCTCAGCTCCAGGATCTGTTGGCGTAGCTCGCCACTGCTCTGGTGGCGCGGCTGCTGCACGGTGTAGCGCAGCAACATGAGCCCCCACGCCAGCCCCATGACGATTAGCAGCACGCTCAGCTTCTGGGACATGTTCCTCCCCAGCATGGTACTGGGGCTGGACGTGGGGCTGGAGGTGGATGGTGGTGGGCCAGGGGAGAGGGCTAGGGGATAGAGAGTTGGGCCTGGCGGATAGAGGGTGGGGCTGGGGGAAAAGGGTTGGGAGTGGTGCTGGGTCTGGAAGTGGGTGGTTTGAATGGGTTTGAATTGAATGGGCAAGGGGGCTGGTGTGAGGAAAGGAAGGAGAAGGATCTAGGGGCAAAGGGGCAGGGGTTTGGAGCTGGGGCTAGGACTTAGACAGGGGCTAGTTCAGGCAAAATACTCTGACACAGGGTTAAGGGGGCTGGGGTTAGGACTGGGGGATATAGGGCTGGGGGATATTGGGCTGGGGTTGGGTATGGAGGAGTAGGGGGGTAAAAACACTACATACACCTGGCAGTCAACCATGGGGCCCAAACACATACATAGCTGCGTCACTCAGAGAGGGAGGATCTGAAGAAGAGAGACAGACACAGACAGAAACAGGCGAGTCATTCATGTCATGTTTCACTCTGTGGGGAATCCATGACACAATTAATCAGGAACCTGGGCCGGGGATCAGACGGCCACAACAATGTTGTAGAACGTACTACTGTCTTCAGATAGAAAAGCATTGTGTAGAACTGACATTTCTCTCAGACGTAAGAAATCATGAGTGAAGATGAATGATGTCAGCTCTATTCATGGCATTTCTATCTGCAATGTTCAGTGCTGCATCATTCGGAAGGCTGTTTAGAAAGAAATGCATGGAGTAAAACTGAAATGATGCTCTGTTGCGCAGATTACGAATTCATGACAGCTGCTCTATACATTATATTTAGCAAGTATTATAAATGTTTCTCTGCATTACATAAATCCCTGGCATGGATTTATAAACAGGGCCAAATCGTCTCTCCCAGTAGTAGGCCTATTTTCTAATTGTCAGTGCTATCTGGGATCGTTGGGACATCCCTACCCTAAACCCTTCCCTTACCGAACCTTAACCATTTCAAATTTCAACGGGGTAGGGACGTCCCAAGGATCCAGGATTTCACAGACCATTTTCTAATACAGACAGTGATATATAGGCTACCTTCATTTTCTAAACAAGACTGCGTAATACATGCAGGTAAAAAAACGGAAATCAAATGATCATATTTCACAGCAGCTCTGTCAATGCTTTAATTCTTGCTCTGGGAGTGGCATATCCTATCGAGGGAGCAGATAAGGGACACTAAACAGAGGGGAATAAATTATGAAAAGAAAGGTAACAGAAGCCCGGTTTCAATGTACTAATCGCACACACACTCCCTTCCTGTGAGCTCTATGCTAACGGACAGCAGGCAAAACAACTGGAGGGGAAAGGAGTGATGACAAGCTACAGTTGAGGCCTTTCAGAGGGCTCACAGAGTGGCCACAGGAACGACCATGCATTGGAATAGCCCTAGATGCACAAAATGCTAGGTGACTAACTAGCATTTTGTGCATCTATGACATGGCTATTCGAATGCATGGCAGTTCCTGACGACAATAGATAAGAGTGCAAAGGCTCTCATCTATCTCTTACTGCTTTCATGGGAGGATGTGGTTTCCTGCATAAAAGCAGGATATTGGTATTTGACATCTAGGCCTAATTGTGTCATCATGAAAAGGTCTACTGAAGACAAAATCAACTTGCGTGCGGTCTGGGTAGCATGTTAGTGTTCAAACAAAAAGGGTGTGTGCGTGGAAGGATGCCATAAGGTATGCTGTCCACTTCACCTAACCATCTGTCAAGCATTGTTATACACAAGGCAAGTTGAGGCAACAAATCCATTAGTTAAACATTGACCTACACAGCTGCCATCTGGGATTAAGGTTTAATTTATTTTCACCAAAGAAAAGTGATAAACAATAATACAGATAAAAACAAATACATAAACGTTAAGCAGGTGTAGTTGGAAGGCAAAGGGCTTATAGAAAATCCACACCACAAAAAAACAATATACAATACATAAGTATAAAAATAAAAAGGATAGTGTCATCACCTCAATCAACAACTAGGCAATGCAGCAAGGTTTGGCTCAGGTTTGAGGAAGGAAAAGTTAGCTTGTTAGTGTATGACAGAACAGTTGGTGGAAAAACGAAGAAAGATAGCCAATAATAGACATAGCTAGCTATGTTAGCAAATAAGTCATACTTTTTAAACCGTTTCTTAAACACACACATTTAAGCTTGATGGTAGCAGAGATACATGTAGCTAAACCGTTAGCTAGATTTCTAGAAAACTGGCTGACTATAGCTAGCTTACAGTGCTGAGTTCGCTAGCTAGCTGCTAGTCTAGCTTGTTGATAGCGTGCATGATGACGTAAACATGCTAGCTAGTCTTCTTATCGAACATAACTTGGCCAGTCAGACATCCACAAAGTTGTCTCACATCTCAAACAGTATTTAATTGACTTTTATCAAACCCTTCTAAAAGCAAACTAACGTTATATTACCTGGATTTGTTCGTTTGAATCACTAAACTGTTCGGAACGTCAGTCTGCGATTCCAATCCAAGACGGAGCGCACCACAGACAGTGCAGGGACCGAAATGTCACTGTCAGAAGATCCTTGATAGCTAGCTAGCTCACTGCTAACACGGGATCTAATAACTCAATAATATTATGCATTACAACTTAAACAAATGGCCTGTTCTTAAATTAAAGTGGCATTGCATAATTGTTTGCATGCCTAGGCTAAAGACTTGTTCATAATGCAATCGGTCTCGAGCGCAGCCCGTTTCCTAAGCGACGAATAGCTGTTTTGTGTGTTCTGCGTCATCGCTTTTTGCTGTATGGATTCAAGGGAAATGTATTGCGCATAAACACAGATAATCAGAGAGGAAGAGGAAGAGAGAGGCCCAACTCGGCGGAAAATCTGGCTCCCTCCAGCAGGTGGCGTTTTTTCGTTGTTTGGCTCCCTCCAACAGAGGGCGTACGGGTGGACATTTTTATTGTATTTTACCTTTATTTAACTAGTCAAGTAAGTTAAGAACAAATTCTTATTTACAATGACGGCCTACACCGGCCAAACCCGGACGACGCTGGGCCAATCGGGCAGAAGGTGGTAGAATATGGACGGGGGGAGAGAGATAGAGCCGGCAATTGCATTGGGGAATGTTCCTCCGTGGCTGTTTAGTAGTGTGGACATGATTGAGGGCAGGAGAGAATGGGGTGAGAACCTGAGATGGTGTGTGGAGAGATATATAGATAATCGGTTTTATTCGTTTTTAAGGATATATACAGATAGTTCAAATGATCCAGTCAGTGGGAGGGTGGGGGCTGGGGCTGGGGTGTATATCCCAGATTTCAATGTTGGAGTAGACTATGGTTTGACCATACAGGTTTAAATGCCTCGTTGTGGATGAAAAGAAGACATGAAACAGGTCTGTGTGATGAGTGTTTAGTGGAGGAAACGGTGGAGCATGTGTTGATATTTTGTGAATTGTATGACATAGATATGGAGAGATTGTGTGAAAAGGTTAGAGAGGCTAGATGGGGTTGGGGTTGGGGTTAGGGTTTGGGTGGTGTAGTGGGGGAGGGAAGTGGTATCTAGGGCTCTATTTCACTTTCTTAGTGAATTTAGTGTAGTTAGGCCTCGACTGGCCTCACACTCCAGTACAGTAGGTGGCGGTGTGTGCACCTTGAAAGTTGGATGCGATCCGCCAACCCAAATCCGAAGAAGAGGAGGAAGAAGAAATTAGTTTTTGTATGGAGGTCAATGAGTGTCGAATTTGGTCAACAAAAAAACGTATGGCTTATTTGCTACGTGAGGTTTATTTGCTCGATTAGAAGTTTCGTAAGGCATAAGTTGTTACGAGTGTACTGATATAAGTAGGACACGTGACATCCCGGGCAACTTTGAGAAAAAACACTATCTTGAGACGGCTATGCATATTCATGACATGAGGCCAGCATCTCTCCCCATTGAATACAAGCGGTTAACATCAACAACGCTCATCGAATATTCAAAAAGGATTGGGAGCTAGACAGCCCGCCATGCCGCTTTGTGAGGGCGGAGAGACAGTATATTGTCAGTATATCCATAATCTTTGATTATATTGACCAGATACTCTAGCGGCCACTCTAACAATGAAAATAAATGTATTTAAAAAATGGAAGACAGTCGGAGGCAAGATCAGGTGGGACCATTCTAGCCAATGAGAGGGCAGATACGCAGGACCACGACCGTTTCCACTAGTTACAACAGCCACAAAGTCAAAATTCATGAAAACTAAAATTACCTTTTTGGTCTTAATTTAAGGTTAGGGTTATGCATAAGGTTAGCACTGTGGTTAGGTTTAAAGTCACATTTTAAGAAAATACATTGGGGAAATACGCAAGGTTTATGATTTTGTGGCTGTGGTAACTAGTGAAGACCAGGCACAATTTTGATTTAAAGTTTTTTTTGTCAGTTACCGGGATGTCACGTGTCCTACTTATATCAGTACACGCGTAACAACCTAATCATTACGAAAAATATATTAGATCAAATAAGCCACACGTAGCAAATAAGCCATTACATTTTTTGTTAACCAAATTCGACGCTCACCCATTGACAAATTGACCTCCATGCAAAAACTCAAAACACCACCTGTTTGAGAAGAAAGATTTTGGGACAAGGTATCCCTCTCGCTTCGCCTCTTCCTCTCTGGCATAAAGAAACATGTGGGCGTGGAGGTCCAGTTTGCTCATTCATCCTAGTGGCTATGTAGAAAGAAAATAACATAAAATAACTTTAAAACATTATTTTTCTTTGCTGATTGTAATAGTTTTGGAAAGGAATGAATGGATGGCATATGACCCACTGAAAGAATAAGCCAAGGACAAGGTACCCGCCCACCAGCCCAAAGCAAGGGAGGGAGAAACGAAAGGGGATAAGTGAGTGTAGTGTTAGATGGTAGGGTATATTTTATTATTTTTATTCAAGCAAAGTATAAGGGAGTTGTACTCCAGTCTAGTAGGTGGCGGTAATGGAACATTTATTGGATGCCAACCGCCGTTAAACCTCATCGAAGAAGAAGGAAAGGGGAGAAAGGTGCCGATCGCTTAGCAACGTGGACGCCTGGTGCTGAACCGGATACTAGCACAGGACTTCAGTCGAGGAGCTGAGGGATTTTACAAATTCGTCTAGCTAAAACAGTATCTCAGAACTTGAGTGATGGAGAGGATATGTCTTGACAAGACTGCATCTAAGGCAGTGGACGACTATCTGGAGTACAGGAGGTTTGTCTTGCTTGCCAATTAACATCCTTCTAGGATTATATTCAGCCTGGAGCACTGCTGGAATGTTCCTCTGTCACCTGACTGACTGTGTAGGCCTATTTGCTTTGTTATGTTTGCCTTCAGACAACTTAGAAAGTGCACACATTCCTTGTATGTAGAATGTCACCAAGGCCATTTTTCTGGAGTCAGTTTATTTTAGAATAGCCTTCCTTCCTTTCCTTCCTCAGCAGATCAATCTAATGGGACTACATAGGTGAAACTGATGAAATGATGAAGTTGAATGTCTAGTTTACCATATAGCATACTACTTGTGTATCAGTATTATAGTTAAGGAGGAAAGGAATAATTTGCAGAATCAGGCTACTCTATGATCAGAACTACTAATCATTAACACCATTAACTTGGAAAATATTAGTTTTTTCAGGACTAACTCCTCCATCAGATTTCTCATGATTTGGGGTCCGTTTCTGGACCTTCTGGACAGAGACTGATCGTGAAGACTGACTAGGAACGCTTATTGTTATTGTAACTGTCATTGTTGCTCTATTCTTGTCCCTTGTCTTGCAATACTTAAGCAATACTTAATTTCATATGTCTGGCAGCTGTGTATTTGTGTTATTTCTTTGTGTGTTCTTGTTTTGTACTACAAAAATAAAAAATAAATACTAATCCTACCCCTGTGCTGTGGCACCTGTTGTTGTGTGTCAGGATCGTGGGTGAAGACGATGGCGGCAGACTATTCTCCCCAGAGGAATATGAAAAGTATAAGAGAACAGAGTTGCCCAAGAGACAACACAACAGGCTGTATGTGAGCTTTGGAGTGCCAGGGGGAATAGACTGTAAACTCATCGGCCCAGAGACACCTTGCTTCTGCACACACAGGTACACGTTAGCAACATCCTCCATCTCTAGTAGAACACTGTGATTAGTTCATTAATTGTGTGCCTCCAAAATGCACTATGACCTCTGCAAAGAGATCTGAACCGTTATGGCTGAGGAGGAAGCATGGTTTCCCAGGAACCGCATGGTCACTGGTTCAAGCATCACTCCAGCTATCCTTCTTAATCGCTACACTTGTCTTGGGTTGAACCCCTCCAGGTACAAACAGCATCAGACAGACTTTGAGGAGGTTCCTTTGGAGCGTCCGATAGCGCTACCATGCCGGGTTCGAGGGTGTCGGTGTTTGGCCTTCCAGTACGTGCACCTGAATGGGTCGCAGCCCGTACGCTGCAGGTGCAAGCACTCTGCCTACGACCACAGTGAGACCACAGAACACCTGTGTGGGAAATGTGAGTCTCTGTTGTCCCCTCGCTGAAGCACTGAGTCATTGTTATAACACTCCTTCTATACTCCCTGCCTTCCAATTTGTTGTGTTAAAAGTAGTGTCAGTGTTGTTGAGGCCACATTGACCTACCTCTCCTCTCTCTCTGTCCTCAGGCTCATCCTGCTCTGGGTTCCGGAGCCCCTTCAGCTGTGGGTGTGGCCAGCCTAGCTCCGCCCACCAGACACTGGTGGAGACGAAGGCAGAACGGGAGTCCCGGGGTCGGCCGGTGGGCAGAGATGTTCCGTACGCAGCCATGGGGGGTCTGACAGGGTTCAGCTCCCTGGCTGATGGGTACCTGAGACTGGATGATAGCGGGGCAGGTGAGACCTCCAGGCTGCATCACAGACTCATCACAGACTCACTGACAAGAGACAGCCACAAGATGAATTACAGCATAGACATCCCAGTCTATCTAATGAGTCTAATTTTAGCCTTAGATATGAGATATCGAATTGTTACCCTTGACCTTGTGCGTGCGTGTGCCTGCGTAGGTGCCCCTCCCCTGTCTGTTCTGTCATCTCAACAGGAGCATGTGTTTGAGAAAGCCTATGGACCAGCAGCAGCCTCAGGACCTACAGGTCAGAACCCAACCAAGCTATAGGAGGCTTTGGGGTACATCATTATGACTGTGCTTTGAAATGTCTAGCCTGGGAAGCGCATGCTTCTCACGTACGATATTTGGAAGGGTGGCCTGGCGAGACTATGAAATGTCTAATCTGAGTGTAATTTAGGATGCAATTTATCCTATAGTTCAGGGTTTCCCAAACTCGGTCCTGTTTTGGTTTTTGCCCTAGCACTACACAGCTGATTCAAATAATCTAAGCTTGATTATGAGTTGGTTATTTGAATCAGGACCAGGACCGAGTTAAGGAAACCCTGCTATAGAGCATATAGAAATCCTAAACAGAGATGATATTTGTCTCATAATAGATGTATTGCGTTAATTTAATAGTTTCCCTCTGATATGTAGAGGAGAGCTCAGTGACGTCCGTGACCAGGGCTCTGTCTGACCTCGGCACCAGAGAGGAAGAAGACATGGCGTACTTCGAGAGACGCTACCAGGAGAGGGTGAGGAGGACAATTCTCTAATGAAAAACTGGAGGCCAGCAAAGAGCAGTAGAAACAGCATTGTACAGATGAAAAAGAAGTGAGATCAGAAAATATTCATACCCCTTGATTTATTCCACATTTCGTTGTGTTACAGCTTGAATTCAAAGTGGATTAAATAAAAAAAATTATCTGACCCATCTTCATACAATAACCCCATAATGACAAAGTGAAAACATGTTTTTAGAAATTGTTGCAAATGTATTGAAAATGAAATACAGAAATATCTCATTTACATACACTACCGGTCAGAAGTTTTAGAACACCTACTCATTCAAGGGTTTTTCTAAATTTTTACTATTTTCTACATTGTAGAATAATAGTGAAGACATCAAAACTATGAAATAACACATATGGAATCGATACCTTTTGGAAACGAAACATGTTTTATAAGGAGGATGGGATCCACCCAAATCATTTGGGTTCCGGGATCCTTTCAGAGCATTATAAGGCTGCGTTGAGACAATGACTTAGCAATGACCCAAGCCCAGCTCAGCTAATCCCTACCATTGTGACGCAGAGTTGTCAAAATGCTTCAGCAAATGTACATTACAACAGGAGTGTCGGTAGACACAATATAAGTAACCTAATTTATGTCCCTCTAACTGCCCTGAATGCCTCTGCTGATCCTACAGCTATTGTATGCAGTAATCATGTGCCTAAGAACCAGATTTATACTGTAAGCACTGAGCCGGTGTGCCCGAGGACGAAGGCCACTGTGTGCAGCTCACCCTGCACATAAAGAACATGACCAAATCTACTGCTGCTAAGCTTCCCAGTAAAGCAATAAAAACAAGTAAGCATCCCAGAAGAAAAGAGCTCAAAATAGCCCACCTTAACAGATGATATTTATATTCTGACTATCTCTGAAACTCACTTAGATAATACATTTGAGGATACAGTGGTAGCAATACAAGGTTATAACATTTACAGAAAATATAGAAATGCCAATGGTGGAGGTGTTGCTGTTTATATTCAGAACCACATTCCTGTGAAGATTAGAGAGGATCTCATGTTAAATACTGTTGAAGTAATATGGCTACAGGTTCATCTGCCTCACCTAAAGCCAATTCTGGTGGGAAGCTGCTATAGACCACCAAGTGCTAACAGTCAGTATCTGGATAACATGTGGGAAATGCTTGATAATGTATGTGATATCAATAGAGAGGTATACTTTCTGGGTGATTTAAATATTCATCAGGCTGCCCACTCAAGAGAAAGCTTCAAACTGTAACCAGTGCCTACAACCTGGTTCAGGTTATCAGTCAACCTACCAGGGTAGTTACAAACAATACAGGAATTAAATCATCAACATGTATTGATCATATCTTTACTAATGCTGCAGAGATTTGTTTGAAAGCAGTATCCAAATCCATTGGATGTAGTGATCACAATATAGTAGCCATATCTAGGAAAACCAAAGTTCCAAATACTGGGCCTAATATTGTGTATAAGCGGTCATACAATACGTTTTGTAGTGATTCCTATGTTGTTGATGTAAATAATATTTGTTGGTCTGTGGTGTGTTATGAGGAGAAACCAGACGCTGCACTTGACACATTTATGAAAGTGCTTATTCCAGATACTAACAAGCATGCACCCATTAAAAAAATGACTGTAAAACTGCTAAATTCCCATAGATTGATGAGGAATTGAAAAATGGTAGGGTTGAGAGGGATGAGGCAAAAGGAAAGGCAAATAAGTCTGGCTGTACAACCGATTGGAAAACGTACTGCAAATTGAGAAATCAGGTGGCTAAACTGAATAAAAATAAGAAGAATCAACACTATAAAACAAGGATAAATGACATAAAGAATGATAGTAAAAAGCTTTGGAGCACCTTAAATTAAATGTAGGGAAAAAAGGCAAACTCGGCTCCATCATTCATTGAATCAGATGGCTCATTCATCACAAAACAAATTCCATTGGCAAAATTGGGAAACATAGGCATGACATGCCATCAACAATTGCTGACACTACACATCCAAGTATATCTGACCAAATTATGAAAGACAAGCATTGTAATTTTGAATTCCGTAAAGTGAGTGTGGAAGAGGTGAAAAAATGATTGGTGTCTATTAACAATGACAAGCCACCGGGGTCTGACAACTTGGATGGAAAATTACTGAGGATAATAGCGGACGATATTGCCACTCCTATTGGCCATATTTTCAATTTAAGCCTACTAGAATGTGTGTGCCCCAAGGCTTGGAGGGAAGCAAAAGTCTTTCCGCTACCTAAGAATAGTAAAGCCCTCTTTACTGGCTCAAATAGCCGACCAATTAGCCTGTTACCAACCCTTAGTAAACTATTGGAAAAAATTGTGTTTGACCAGATACAATGCTATTTTACAGTAAACAAATTGACAACAAACTTTCAGCATGCTTATAGAGAAGGACATTCAACAAGCACAGCACTTACACAAATGACTGATGATTGGCTGAGAGAAATTGATGATACAAAGATTGTGGGGGCTGTTTTGTTAGACTTCAGTGCGGCTTTTGACATTATCGATCATAGTGTGCTGCTGGAAAGACGTATGTGTTATGGCTTTCCACCTTCTGTTATAATGTGGATAAAGAGTTACTTGTCTAACAGAACAAAGAGGGTGTTCTTTAATGGAAGCCTCTCAAACTTAATCCAGGTAGAATCAGGAATTCCCCAGGGCAGCTGTTTAGGCCCCTTTACTTTTTGCCATCTTTACTAACGACATGCCACTGGCTTTGAGTAAAGCCAGTGTGTCTATGTATGCGGATGACTCAACACTATACACGTCAGCTGCTACAGCAACTGAAATAACTGCAACCCTTAATAAAGAGTTGCAGTTAGTTTCGGAATGGGTGGCAAGGAATAAGTTAGTCCTAAATATTTCCAAAACTAAAAGTATTGTATTTAGGTCAAATCTTTAACTAAACCCTAAACCTCAACTACATCTTGTAATGAATAATGTGGAAATTGAGCAAGTTGAGGTGACTAAACTGCTTGGAGTAACCCTGGATTGTAAACTGTCATGGTCAAAGCATATTGATACAACAGTAGCTAAGATGGGGAGAAGTATGTCCATAATTAAGCGCTGCTCTGCCTTCTTAACAACACTATCAACAAGGCAGGTCCTACAGGCCCTAGTTTTGTCGCACCTAGACTACTATTCAGTAGTGTGGTCAGGTGCCACAAGGAGGGACTTGGGAAAATTACAGTTGGCTCAGAACAGGGCAGCACGGCTGGCCCTTAAAAGTACTTGGAGAGCTAACATTAATGACATGCATGTTAGTCTCTCCTGGCTTAGAGTGGAAGAGAGATTGACTTCATCACTGCTTGTTTTTTTTAAGAGGTGTAGACAAGCTGAATGTACCGAGCTATCTGTTTGGAATGCTGGCACACAGCTCAGACACCCATGCATACCCCACGAGACATGCCACCAGAGGTCTCTTCACAGTCCCCAAGTCCAGAACAGACTACGGGAAACGCACAGTACTACGTAGAGCCATGACTACATGGAACTCTATTCCACATCATGTAACTCAGTCAAGCAGTAAAATCAGATTTTAAAAAACAGATAAAACGACACTTTATGGAACAGCACGGACTGTGAAGAGACAAACACACACACACAGGCACACACACAGCATTCGCAAACACATGCTAACACACACACTCTACACACACACATTTTAATATTGTTACTTTGCTGTATTGTAAATATGTTATGGTAGAGTAGTGTGTAATAAGGTGTTGTGTTATGTATTGTTTTATTGTATGTAAATTGTGGTTGGACCCCAGGAAGAGTAGCTGCTGCCTTGGCAGCCGCTAATGGGGATCCGTAATAAATACAAAAATACAAAAATACAAATGTAGTAACCAAAAAAGTATTAAACAAATCAAAATATATTTTATATTTGAGATTCTTCAAATAACCACCCTTTGCCTTGATGACAGCTTTGCACACTCTTGGCATTTTGTATTTGTATTTATTAAGGATCCCCATTAGCTCCTGCCACGGTAGTAGCTACTCTTCCTGGGGTCCAGCAACATTAAGGCAGTTATATACAATTTAAAATATTACATGACATTACATTTCATAACACTTTTCACAACACATTAAGTGTGTTCCCTCAGGCCACTACTCTCCTATAACATATCTACAATACAAAATCCTTGTGTACGTGTGTGTAGTGCGTATGTCTTATCATGTGTGTGTGTGTGTCTCTTTACAGTTCCCACTGTTCCATAAGGTGTATTTTTATCTGGGTTTTTGCATCAGTCACCTGATGTGGAATAGAGTTCCATGTAGCCATGGCTCTACGTAGTACTGTGAGCCTTCCATAGTCTGTTCTTGACTTGGGGATTGTGAAGAGACCTCTGGTGGCATGTTTTGTGGTGTATGCATGGGTGTCCGAGCTGTGTGCTAGTAGTTTAAACAGACACCTCGGTGCATTCAGCATGTCAACTCTTCTTACAAAAACAAGTAGTGATGAAGTCAATCTCTCCTCCACTTTGAGCCATGAGAGATTTACATGCATATTATTAATGTTAGCTCTCCATGTACATTTAAGGGCTGGCCGTGCTGCCCTGTTCTTAGCCAATTGTAATTTTCCGAGGTCCCTCTTTGTGGCACCTGACCACACTACTGAACAGTAGTCCAGGTGCGACAAAACTAGGGCCTGTAGGACCTGCCTTGTTGATAGTGTTGTTAAAAAGGCAGTGTAGCGCTTTATTATTGACAGACTTTTCCCCATCTTAGCTACTGTTGTATCAACATGTTTTGACCATGACAGTTTACAGTCCAGGGTTACTCCAAGCAGTTTAGTCACCTCAACTTGCTCAATTTCCACATTATTTATTACACGATTTAGTTGAAGTTTACGGTTTAGTGAATGATTTGCCCCAAATACAATACTTTTAGTTTTTTTGGAAATATTTAGGACTAACTTATTCCTTGCCACCCATTCTGAAACTGACTGCAGCTCTTTAAGTGTTGCAGCGATTTCACTCGCTGTAGTAGCTGACAT